AATGTGAAGGAAGTTGAATATTAAATCTAAAGCTGTCGGATGGTGATGATTCCTGATTCTATAAACCTGAGAAGCTAAAACCTGAAGGACAAATATCTGGACACATGAATATACGTCGTAGTCTCAGTCTTTGGAATCCTGGAGCGTGAGCAGGACGACTGACCGATGTGTCTGTTCGGAAGCCGCTTCAGCAAACACGGCTCCTCGTTTCCAGAAGGTGCTCCGATGGTCGCCGTCAGACTGCTCAGGTCCGTCTCCGTGATCTTCAATGAAACGTCTGTTGCCGTGCCAACGTTGAGTTGAGAAGTCCTCATAGAGTCGTCGCCTGTTGGTCAAACGCAGTTAATTTTAGTTTGTTGAAGAATTAATAAAGAAAAAAACTGAACTCTGGGAAATACTTCAGTTGGGTTTCAGGATCAAAAGTGACGTCATGGATCATATCAGGTATCAAACAGACGTGTTGTTGATCATTCTTTTCAAAATTAAAGTGTTTTAATGTGATAGGAGTGAGAAGCTTTTACTTTGAAACCTCACACAAAAGAACTTCTGAAAAGGACAAAATAAAGTTGATGGAACAAGAAAACACAGGAAGCGTTATAACCGGTGATCTTGGCGGTGAAGGGACTGCCGGGGATGTGTTTGTCGTCAAACTTGACGATGATGTTGTAGTCTCCAGGTGCAGTCGGCAGGTAGGACACGGTGCACGTCCCGTCTTTGTTGTCTTTACAGCTGATCTCAGCTTTAGACGGACCCTCCACAGCCAGAGAGAGACCCCCTGCAGAGACAGACTTCGTACATTCAGTCCAACGTTTCTTCTTCAAACAGACTCTGTTAATGTGACGTCACCTTCGCCGGCGTCTTTAGTGACGATCGTGAACGTGGACGGTCGGTTCACGGTGCCATGGCTCAGACCCGGGCCGTACGCTGTCACATGACCGCTGTTGATGGCATCAACGTAGAACTGAAGAGGACTTCCTGTGAAAACACCGGAACGAACACCAACAGTTTTATTCAAATGAAAACACGACAGAGCTGAAGTCTGTTTTCATCCGGAGACAGAAACTGATTTGAGAGTTTCCACGTTATTTTTACCGGGGATGTGGTTTCTGTCGTATTTAATGTCCATCTCGTGCAGACCTCGTTCAGTTGGCGAGTATTTCACGGTGACGGTTCCGTCCTTGTTATCGGTGATGTGAGGGCAGGCGGTTCGACCAGACGGCATCCGCACCTCACCTAAATAAAAAAAAATGAAAACACCACAGTTCCATCACGGTTGTTTTGTTCATTCAATAAAAACTTTATTAGTTTCTGATTTTGAAGTTTTCTGAATCAACACGTGGAACTGATTCTGTTACCAGGAGACTCATTTACATACAAATATATACATACATGTACAAATACATAAAAATCATTCTAATGGACTACATTTTATTATCGTCAATATTACTCTTTAACAAATAATAACTTTTCTACTGTGATCTGAAGAAGAAAAGATCGTATTTCTGCTCCATTCTGTAGGAAAGTGAAGCAAACTGCAGTAAAGTGAAGCGAGCTAGCTGCAGTAAAGTGAGCTGCAGTAAAGTGAAGCGAGC